GCAGCAGCACGCCGGGCAGGAGCAGCAGGCGGCGGATGCTGACGAGGACGAGGAGGTCGAGCAGCCGGTTGCGGCCCCTGCGGCGGCGGCTGCGGCGGCCCATCAGCAGCACGAGCAGCAGCAGCAGCAAACGGGGCGGCAGGGTCGGCGCCTGCCGCGGCGGGGTGGCCTGGGGGAGGCGGAGAGCACTAGCAATCAGGCAGCCGTTGTGGAAGACGGGGAGCTGGACGACAGCGGTACGAGCAAGGCGGCAGCTGCCGCTGGCTCTGCCCCCGCAGTCGGGGGCGCGGGGCAGCCAGCGTCTGACGAGGTCGGCCGGCGCCAGAAGCGGCGCCGGCAGCCGGCGGCGCAGCAGCAACAGGCGCCGGCGCGGCAGCTGCGCCAGCGACGCACGCGGCGCGGGGCCGGCGAGGCGGGGCCGTCGCAGGCCGTGTCTCAGAGCGGCAGCGCCGCCACGGGCGAGCCAGCCGCCGCGGGCCCCTCGGCCGGCGCCACGGCGGGGCGCGCGGCTCCCTTTCACTTGGAGCAGCTCCCCTTTGCTGCCGCGGCCGAGGCGCCTGGCCCGCTGCGGCGCTCCGCCCCCGCTGCCGCCACCGGGCCCGTGGCGCCGCTGCAGCTGGCCTCTGCATTCCCTCTGCCCATTTCTGCCATCGGCGCGGCAGGCCCCGCATGCACAGGGCTCGGCACGCCGGCGCCCGCGACCACCCCGCTCCCTGGCGCCGGCGTGCAGCCTCAGCAGCGGCGTTACAGCTTGCGCGACGAGACCCCCGGGCTGTCCCTGGCGCACCCGCACCCCGAGGCGATGGCCGCGGGCGCGGCTGCGCGCGCGGGGGCGGCGGCCGCGGGGGGCGGCGCGGCTGGCGAGGCCGTCGGCGGCACCGCAGCGGAGATGGGTCTATGGCAACTGTGAACCGCTGCGGCCGCTGCACCCAGCTCGCCGCAGGAGCTTAGATTTGGTTTGTATGGGTAGCAGCCTCCATCTTGAGGCACTGGGGTGCGCTCTTGGCCTGCATTGATACACCTAGGGACGCACGCCGACATGCGCCAGGACGCGCCGCGCCAGTGCGTGGCTGTGATAGGGAGCTGTTGGTGCACCCTCTTGTTTTTTCCTTTCAACCCCAGCACCAATTGTTTTGACCTCGAGCTGCTTGCGGCGCACTGCCTTATGCGCGCTGGGCCACAGTCAGCCCGCGCTCCTTCGTCATACGTGGTGGCAGACATGTAACCGCACACAGTCCACTGCTTGAAGCCACGCGCCGAGCTGCACGCAAGATATGCCAACCAGTTTGTCAAAAAAGGATTGGCCTGCAGACCCACTGGCAGATCTGGCCAAACGCCACTGGTCAAGCGAGCCACTTGAGCTTGCAGAGTTACACGTCGTGTGCCTCACTTAGGTAGACAACAACCGCCGACGCGCGTCACCCCAGCCAGTGCGTCGACCGGGCGTCCCCGGTCCCGACCTTGCCGTAGCGGCTGACCGCCGCGCTCGCCCACTCCGCCCGCGCCTTCTCAAACGTGGTCATCTCCTTCCCGTCCCCGGCCGCGCGCGCGGCGCCGCTGCGGCGCGCGGCGCGCTCGGCCTTGACCCATCGCAGGTAGCCTTCGAGGGTGTCCCGCTGCGGCGCCACGAAGCGGTCCAGGTGGCTGTGGGCTGCCTCCACCAGCATCTCCACGCTGGTCTGGCAGGTTAGCAGCGTCAAGGGAGATGAAACGGGCAAAACCAGGGTCACAGAAGAGCGGGATCAAGGGGGAAGCAAAGGACAAACACAGGGTCGGAGGAGCACAGGGTATGGCGCACGGGTGCGGAGGGCCGGGCGGGACAGCGTTGAGCAAGGCAGGCGTGGCAAAACACGGCGCTGCGCGTCGAGCGAGCCGCATCTGCGCTGCCCCTCCAGCCCAGAAGCCCGCGATCCCCAGCTGCGAAGTAAGGCCACATCCTCCCAAAGCGGAACACCCCCCCCACGGGGTGCCCACCCGCGCCCATGCCAGCTTGTGCATGCCCTTGGCCGCCGCGACGCAGTCGAGCAGCGCCTGCCGCCGCATCACCGCCAGCTCAGCGGCGCTCCAGGAGCCGTCGTCCGCGCCGCCCTCCCCGCCGCTGCCGCCGCCGCTGGGCCCCGCCTCCCCCTGCTCCCGCTCCTGCTCGTTTCGCCGCATGAAGTCGTCCAGACCAAAGGGGTCCGCCTCCTCGTCTGCCGCCTCCTCGTCCGCCGGCGGCGCGGGCCCGCCGGCCGCCGGGGCGGCCGGGGCCGCCCGCGCGCCGCCAGGCAGCTGCAGGCCGCGCGCGGCGGCCTCCTCTGCTGCGGTGGCGGGCGACAGGGCTGCGATGTCCTCTTTCAAGCGCGCGACAGCCTTTGGGGGGTTGAGATGCCAGCCAGGGGCAGAGCGTTGGATGCAGATGAAGCAGCTGACACAGCAGACATCCAGTGCTGCTGCTGCTGCTGCTGCTGCTGCTGCTGCTGCTGCTGCTGCTGCTGCCGCTCCTCCTGCTGCTGCTGCTGCTGCTGCTGCTGCTGCCGTTGCTGCTCAAGTCAGCAACGGGCTCGTTCGCTCATTAGCACCCACGGACGAGCACATACTTGAGCACACATGCATTCAGTCTTGCACTCATTGGTACCCGGCAGGGCACACCCAACAAGCGCACCGGCTCGCCGCACCTTGTTGAAGGCAAAGCTGTCATCCGTGGCCAGCTCCCCTCGCTGCAGCGTCCAAATGGAGTAAATCTCCAAATGCGCCCCCTGCCCCGGCGACAGCACGTCTGGCGGCACGCCATTGCAGAAAGCATTTAGCAGCCGCCGATAATCCCGCCGCAGCGCGGGGTCGTCAGCGCGGCCCGGGTCGGCGTAGGCGGCGCGCAGCGCGGCGAACAGCTCGGCTCTGTGCGCCGCGGTTATGGCGCCGCTGCCGATGAGCTGGCGCAGGAGGCCCGCAGCCTTGGGGAACTTGGCAGCGTTGCATATGTGGTTCGCAATCTTCAGCAGAGCGGGACCGACTTGGTCAGATGCGGGGGGTGGGGGCACTGCCTGCGCAACGCCATCCCCGTTGGCGTCGTCGTCGTGCTGCTGCTGCTCCTGCTGCTCCTCCTCCTGCTGCTGCTGCTGCTCGACTGGGCCTGGCTCCAAGTCCGTCCGCTGCATTTTTCCTGGCCTTTCATGCTCTTCATGTTGTATAGCAGTGGGAGCAAGATGCTCAGGACGAGCCTTTGGTGCTGGGAGATCGTCGAACAAAGACGCCATCGCACTCCGATGTAATAGATAGAATGATATTTGATCGCTTGTAATACTCCCAGCTTGGTAGAGCGTTGTATCGCGGCTCGCAGAAGTTGCTACGCAGCTACCGGGAATGAGCTCAGCATTGGGTGCCAAGCTTGAAAGCATGCCGCGTGCCCTTGTCAAGGTGGTAGCACTTGTGCGACTGCCTGGCCTGACTAGGGACTTCTTGTGTGTGTGTGTGTGTGTGTGCTTGTGCGTGTGCGTGTGTGCCTATGTGCGTGTGTGCGTGTGTGCATGCATGCGTGCGTGCGTGTATGTGTAAATACGTGTGCTTGGAACCGCAGGTATTTGTAAGCGTCTTCTGTGACTGTGCAAACTGCACCTGAGGCTGTAGAGCAGGGGCTGGTTCAGCAGGGCCACAAGGCGTCACGACCTGCTGCCTTCGCTGTGCGCCATGGTTGCCTTGGCTTGGCACATGAGACGGGTTACATGATTCTAGGCCGATCAATTGATGATGGGAATGCCAAGCGAACAGAGGGAAGCTAAGGCACTATTGCATGCGTTGCCTGCACGTGTTGCTTGCGGCCGTTTGTACCCCCAGAACGAACCCGTCAAGTCAAGCACTCCCTGTGAAGTGCACCGAGGCCAGAATCTCAGGTGAAGTCTAATCCCCAGCAAAAACAGTCAAAGTCTGGTGTCAGCGTTGCTTGCACAAGCCGGGGGGCATGACGGAAGGTTGGAGGTGTCTCGCCGTCCCCCATGATGGCAACTGTGGCAGTGCCATAACCATCTATCAGCGGTCCGCGACCGGGTTCCAGCCCACGCTGCCGGCCCAGCAATGCCGCTTCACATCAAGGTGTAATACAAGAATCTTCTGTCGCTTCACTCCGCCGCGACCACAGCGTCAAGCCTCCCTTCGTTCAGTGCACCCTCTCAAACCTCTTCAGTACCGCCTCCCCCGCCGCTGCCTCCCCCCTGTCATGATGACGTCATCACCCGGCCCACACGTCCTCCAGGTACCGCCCCGCCTCCAGCAGGCTGCCCATCCAGTTCTGGGCGGACGCCTCGCTGCGGCCCCCC